TTCTTCACATCTTCAGTAACGTGTCCAAAATCATACGTCACATCTCCATTCACTCCCTCATCTGCATCAGTCGCGCTCACTGTGACCACCACAGTATCTAAAGGAGAGTTTTCAGGCAGACTGGCTTTATAAACRGCCTGACTRAACACTGGGGCGTTATCRTTAGCATCCAGCACAGTGACGTGTATAACTACGGTACCTGATCTCTGAGGAGAKCCACCATCTAGAGCTGTAAGGAGCAGATTCATGTCTCCTAGTTTTTCACGATCAAGCTCTTTATCAAGAACAAGCTCGAGTGTGTTTCCATTAACAGCCAAGATGAAATTATCATTCTTCTTCAAGCTGTATTGTTGAACTGAATTCTGTCCTACATCCGCATCRTGCGCCTCCTCTATCACAAAACGAGCTCCCYTGWCAGCCGACTCTYGAATTTCTAAATTGATAATKTCTTCGTTAAACTGYGGTGAGTTATCATTAATATCCTGAATGTGGAGACTGAATGGATGCAGCTCCAGAGGATTCTCCAGAACGAGATCGCGTTTCATGACACACGACAGCTTTTCTCCACAAAGCTCCTCTCGGTCGATCCTGTCGGAAACGATCAAGTCCCCAGTWCCGAGATTGATGTCACAATATCGTTTGCGGTTTCCTGCTGCGTCAACACGGGCATTTCTAGAAGACAGTTTGTTCATGTCCAGGTTSAGATCYTTCGCTATATTCCCAATATGCGATCCGCGCTTCATTTCCTCTTGCATCGAGTAGCTCACGTCCCCGTTCGCGGCTTGCCAGAGCAGGAGCAAGACAAAGCAGCTCATCTTGCGCCCCATCATGACGATGCGTGTGTTACAGAAAACCACGTCTGTCTGATTTAGACTCCGACCACGGTTGAATATAACAGATACAATAAAATCCACAGCAGTTCACCGTAGCTACTGTCGATGCGTCCTGAGACCAGAAGCAACCAAAAATCTGTTCCTTTATTGGTCTACACAACAGAGGGTGGAAACGTTTCAGGTAGATTAGGGAAGAGCGACGCCATGAGTGGGTGTGAAGTAATGACACACTGCGCATAATTATAATAATACGAATAATAAAGACAATGGCAGTAGTTGTAATAATAATGATAGTTTAAAACGCAATACAGATTATATCAATGTATGTACTATTTAAAGCATTATCCTAAAACAAAAAAAACTATGGGGATACATAATTGGTAATTGATAGAATTATACATGAAACGCACAAATCAATATGGTACATTAAAGCTATTTCAGAAAGGAATGTTAAAAGCAATTAATGTTGATATTAAAAAGCCCAGTCTCCAAAATACTGTATTTTATCATGCAGAGATTGTAAACTGTCTCTGAAAGAGTAAAACTTTGATACACATATGGGAGGACCACATAAATAAAGCACATTGTAGCGATCCATGATAGCAAACTAGAGACAGATAAAAACTGAGAGAAGTCATTACTTCTCAGAAGTCAAACAATTGTCCTGGAAAGTAGCATTCTGTGAAACAGGACCTAACTAAAATATATTAGGCTCCTGAGAAGAAATCAGATAGATAAAGAAAGAGAGACTGTGGGTGAGAGGGATGTTTGACTTATCCTCCCTGAATTAAAGCATGTAAACCAACCATTACAGCTCAGTGTGCCCCACTACATAAAGAAAGGGACACAAAACTATTTACCCCTCTTCCACCAAACCAGCAAACATCAAATTCCATCAAAGCACAACGTTAAAGCCATTATTTGAGACAGATAACCAGTTTAGCCCCCATCAAGGTGCAAAACCATCCAACACAGCCTCAAACATTGCAGTCATTTATAATAACATTGCATTGACAATAAGACCGAGGATCCCCCGATTTGTAAAGGTAAAGTACAACAATGTTTATATGTTCAGTGGATCTCATACTGAAACTAAATATATTAAATACACCCTGAAAGTTGTCCATCAGATATGATCCCAAATACAGTCTGAAGAGTAAACCCTAACTGTGTTTGACATTGCCAATAATGTAAAAAAAACATTATTTTCATCTTAACGTTTGTGTCATATTCATCTTGTAATGAGCTAGCTTTGACTGGTCACATGTAAGATCCAAGTTAAAGGTTAATAAAGAGATTTACTGAAAACTTAACTGCAACGGATACTTCATTAAGAGTGAAAGAAAGAATGAAAGAAGTAAGTGAGAAGGAAAGAAATAACAGAATAATATATACATTTCTACTCATAAGTTAGTGTCAATGTATACATTTGTTGAGGTTTGTTAAACA